TCCCCCCCCCCCCCCCCCCCCAGTTCAGGCCAGGCAAATCCCATTGTGCTTTCGCCCTCTCCCCTCTTCCCCTTCCTTTCTTGCAGACAGCTGTAGAGGCAAGACGGGGCTGCATCAGCCCAGCCCCAACTACATAACAGATTTGACCCTCAGGAATAGAAATTCCCTAAGGCACTCCAAAGTGGAGCACCTTCATCTGATCCCTCATTTGATGGATTTGTCAGCCACTTTTAAAGCGCTCTGCAGCCATGCATATGTCGCAGCACAGCTGTAGAGAGCTTTCAGGGGGCCGATCACGCAACCAAATGTAACTTCTGTCTGCGCCCGTTATTACACATTCTGTTAGGATTTGTATTCATAAAACTTAGGAATGAGGCACTCTCGTAATAAAAATATATGCAAATCCTACCAAATACCTGGGAATACCTAACTGAATTTCTTTGTTGGCCCTGTGCTTCAATGGAGGAGTATCACTGGCTGTGACATCACTTTATTTTTAACTGACAGTGACAAAACCTTTTAAAACTTAAAGGAAGAATTAGTTGCGGGCTTGTTTTGTCCTGAGTGTCCTCTTTATCATAGTTTCTGTGGTCAATTTAGTTCTAGGTGCTATCATTGAATGCATATGCTGTTTAAGACCTTTTAACATTGTAATAAGATTTCATAGATATTACGACTAGAAGGGACCTCGGAAGATCATCGGGTCCAGCCCCCTGCTGCAGGGGCAGGAAGTCAGCTGGGGTCAAAGGATCCCAGCAAGATAAACATCCAAATGTCTCTTAAAGGAGTCCAGAGTAGGTGCTTGCACCACCTCTGGCAGCAGTCTGTTCCAGGTCTTGGGGACTCGGACAGTAAAGAAGTTCTTTCTTATGTCCAGTCTGAAACGGTCTTGGAGGAGTTTGTGACCATTTGTTTTTAATTATTATGGAATTGATTGCCTGTTTTTCTTAATTTTTCAAATCTATGGCTTTAGGAGAACTATTCATGACTCAACACCTAGAAAAATTACAAGCAGTTTTGTCCTACATTGTTTAATTTTTTTCCCTGAAACCTGGTATTGTACACAGCTATGATCTCAGTGCCTTGATTGTTTTAATGTGTGTGCTTCCTCCTCCTGTAAGTAACTTGAGTCATTGGCATACACTTAAATTTAATTCATCTGCTGACCTGTAAATGTATTTTGAAATTAGCTTTAATTTTCATTCTCAATCTGTGTCCCATCTTGTATAGTATATGTCAAAAGTTAGTTTCTAGAAATTGCCTATAATTTAATACTATAGAAATAGTGTACATGGAATTGAACGTTGAGCTTCAAGTGTTCTTTTTTTCTTTCTTTTGAGTAATTTCTTAAAAGTAAGAAAAAAAAAAAAAAGGAGTCTTCTATACTGTTGTTATATTCCTAACATACTTAGAATACATAATATGGACAAAGAAACTTTTATTAGTGTGACGTTCCCTCAGTCCAAATAAAAATTTGCACTCCTGTTTTTAATATTAAGTCTTTCAATATTTGCTTTCTGATGAACAGTGGTTTTGCTAGAGCAGGGGTTTTCAAACTTTTTTAGCAAGCATACCCCTTCTGGTGGTGGTGTCCGGACGTGGAGCGGGAGGGGTTGCTTGCACATGGCTGCCACTGCTGCCACCCACCACCCTGCACCGCGGACACCTACTGCCCTGCACTCTGCTTTCCCACAGCCGGTTGCTGCACATGCGGCTTCACAGGATGCTGAAGAACCTCGGGTCTGATGAATCGTGCGCCACAAGTCAGCAGCCCACGGAGCTGCACATGCAACCGGCCGTGGGAAAGCAGTGTGGGGCAGTGGTGGCAGTGGCCGCTGCATGTGACCCCTCCCCTGCCCTGCACCAGGTCCTGCCTGCTGGGCTGCAGAGGTACTCCAATCCAGAGCTGGTAGCCAATCTGCAGCCCCATGCCCCACTGGGTGTTGAAATCTGGGGAGGCATATGCTTCACCCCCCTCCCTTCCCCACATACCTATCCCCTTCTTCACACACTGAGGGACTTGGGCCTGGGGGCAGCAGGTTGGGAGTGAGAGGCACCAGCAGGGCTGGGGAGGAGGGGGCTGGGGGTCAGGAGTGAGGGGCACTGGCAGGGGCAGGACACCAGCATGTCAGGGGTGCTTAGCCACAAAGCAGCCAGGGGAACAGTCACAGCTGGTCTCACATCCTGGTGAGCAAAGTGGGCAGAGGGAGCTCTGATT